CCCTCCTAATTCTCCCCCCCCCCCCGGCCCCACTGCATTTGATCTGTGATGCTAACAGTACCTGCATAGGCAGTGACACTCAGCCTTGAAGCTAGGAAGTCGAGTAGGATAATAATGTATTTATTTTCATCAGCTGTGAACCCACATGCCTATGTAGCCTTTCATCTATTTTTCTCAGTTACAGAAATCTGGATCACCCTTTATATTAACTTTAATCAATTAGAGCACAAGTTTTTGATTTTTTGCAAACCACAGGACTTGTTGATGGCCACTAAACTGCATGGAACCCCACAGAATGGAGGCCGTGGTGTTTTTTCAGAGGAATACAAGCGTCGCCCTTTCTGTTGTACTTAGGGGGAAAAAAAAGTGATATGGATGTCACTGACTGCATTTGAGTGATTTTTCTTTAACTTTTGAAAAACTCTGAATCAGAGCCTAATACTAGGCATCCAGAATTAATTCATGAGACTTATTCTAACGCCAGTCTGCATGCAATTACATTCTAAATTTATTGGGAAATAGTTCTGAACAAAACGTCCCCACTATTCTGTTTTTTGCTTTCAATGTGAGGCCATATACAATCCCCCCAAAACTTACATGAGGCCTCCAGGCCACCTCCAGACGTTGCCACCAAATGGGAATTGTAAGTGTGAATAAGTGAAAGGTACCTGAAGAATTATGTTACCTATATTTAGTTAAATTTAATTGAGATTTTGCTTTTGTCCTGGCTGGCCCTGTCTACTTTATGGTGTGGCCTCCAGTACACCTCTCAAAGTCCCCATACCCTTCCTGACATCCCTGCTTTACATTATGTCCTTTATCCTTTTAATAGGCATCATCTTAGTGCTGGCATTTCCTTCTGTGACAAAGAAAAAGTGGAATAAGATTTCTAAAGTGGCCTCCACATCTGCAGTTGTTGAAAATACCTGTCTATTTAAAAATAAATCTGCCCATTTTAGAATTAAATAAGCCAAAGGAGATTAAACATTGCAGACAAACTACTCTTTTCCATTTGGTTAACTTACCAATGCATAATGCTGTTCCCTCCCCCTTTTTTTAACTCCTCCAGTCTTCTGAAGGCAGGGTCTTGTGGGCAGTGTTGTGTTTAATGAAGAAAATATTCAAATACATGTTTCCTCTTAGTCACACAACCTCCCAAACTTATTCTGGGCAGCAACTTGTTTTCTCTTCCATGATCAGATGTTGCAAAATAATGCAATATTTAGCATGGTTATTCCACAGTAAGCCCTGAGAAGTGAGTGTAGGATTAGAATTACACAGTATTAAAAAAAAAAAAAAATCACATGGCATCTTAAATATAAACACATGTAGAACAACAAACAGTTTTGTTGGCTATAGCCACCAATTTTATATATGCTTTGTTTTCTCAGAAGTCAGATCTATTATGTTTAACAGAGCTGATTCCCAGATACGTGTGCCCAAAATAACTTTCCTCTCTAGGAGCCAAAAAAAACAACCACCACCCTTTCTACAAGATTTACTGCTTTGCTTTTCTATGTATCTTTAGTGATCCTTAACTTTTTCATAGTCTTAGCACCCCACATAGTCAGTAGCACTGTTCCCATTTTACAGGTGATCAACAAGTTACTCAATTATTAACTTGCTGGAAACACAGGATTCCCAAGCCACTGGGTGCCTGCAGGCAGCTTTTCCAGATGGTTATTTATGGAACAAGTCACACTCTAAAAGGGAATAATAAACTCCACTAAATGCCCTATTAGGAAGGTAAACATTAAAAAGCTTCATTCCGGCAACAGAGCGCTTTTCCCTTTCTAAACGCGTTAAGTGATTCAATCGGCCATTCAGATCGCTTAACAGGGGTAAAGATGCTGCATCCTGCAATTCTCTGCTGGCCCCTGCGTCAGAGTTTTCCTATCGCTCTTAAAAAGGTGAGTCCTGGGCGACATTATCCAACCTGCCAGCACTGGACGAAAGCCCCCGTCATCCGTTTCCCCCGCGTCGGGGGAGGGCGAGCGCGGAAACGGGTTTGCGGCTCCTACCTTCACCACCTCGTCGTTGAGATGCTTGGGGTCCCGGTTAACCAAGTCGATTTCCTTGGTGTGGACGTCCTGGAACTCCTTCTCGCTAAGCTCCTCAGCCATGACCTTGTTGTTGGGCTTGTAGATGTTCCCTTGCTCCCGGATGGGCGCCGTGTAGAGAAAATCCTAGAGGGAAGCGGGGCCGGGGGGAAAGCGGTCAGTCCGCCGCGCGGCCTGAACTGAGCGTTCCTGGGAAGGGAAAGGAAAGGAAAGGAAAGGGAGGCGGGGGGGGGGCGCTGGAAAAAGATTCACGCGGCGATTCAGAGCTGCTGGCTGGAGAGGGGAGCAGGCCAAGCCAGCAGACACTTCGTCCGGGCAATCTCCCCAAGCCTGGGCTTTTTGAAAAGCACCTCCACCACACCCCTCTGCGCCCCGGCCTGAGCCGCAATGCCTCCTCGCGCCGCCAGGGGGCCTCTCCAGGCAGAAGCAGGGCGCGGGCGAGCTCCGCGGGGCAGGGAGCAGCTACCTCGCCCTTGAATTCCAGCGCTTCGAGGCTCCGAGCGCCGAAATCGCCGATAAATGCCGCCGCTGCCAGAATTACCCACCCACTCCTCCGCGGGAGAGAATCAGCTGGAACTTGACAGATCCTTTGGTTAGCCGGAGGTTCCCAACTCCAATGGCCACGATATTCTGCGCATCGCATGAGCCCCCCCGCCCTTCACAGAGTTGCTCCCGAAGGAACGCCTAAAATCTCCTTTTATGTTCGCTCTCAGATCAGCTACAACCATGGCTCCTTTGGAGCACCCAGGCAGCATCTGAGGGTGGCCTAAAAGCTCTTCGCCCGCCTCACCTGAGCGTCCCCAAGCAATTGGGGTGGGTGGGAAGGGGACCACGCAGCGATGATTAAATGGGCAACGTCCGACAGTTTAGGACCCTGATTTCCCCACAGGCAGGTTTGGGAGGAAGAGGGAGAAAGCTGACCATTCATTACTATTACATCATAGAATGATGAACGAGAGTTCAAAAGATTTAATTTGAAGTAAAGTGACTTTGGCCATGAAAAGTGAAGTTTGCAGCCTCCTCCAACTTGGAGCCTGTCAAAAGTCTTGGCGCTCTAATACCCATCACCCAGCCATCGAGGCCACAGCGTCTGGACTGGACGAAGTCGGAAAGGCTGCCTGGCTGATAGTTCCCAGGAATAAAATCGCCCAGGAAAAAGAAAACCTACCTTGTCAACCTTCCTCCGTTTTTTAGCATGCGCCTAAAATGAACGGGAAATCGTCTTTCCCTAGGCCTGATCGGTTTTGTTAGAGAATTTCAAAGTAAAAAAAAACCAGGTCCCGAAACCTCAGTAGCCACGCACAAAAACTCTTGGGCGGAGGCCCAACCCGCGCCACCTTGCTAAAGCAATGCCAACCTCGCGCCCCTCTCCTGGACGGGCGCAGCAGCCCGTAGCCGCCTAAGAGCGAGAGTCTCCTTTACAGACTTGTGGCCGGTGGACTTGGGGGCGGCTTTCTCCAGAAATCCTCTCTCCGCCTAAATTAAAAATAACAACAACTCGGACTTTGGGGGGGGGCTCACGGGGGTCCTACATCCGAGAGGGTTTGCAGAGCGGCAAAGCCCCCCCCCCCTCGCAACACTTACGCGCCGAGAGTCGTTTCCCTGCTGGCTTCGGGGTGGAAACGCTCGAGCTGGTGCAGTCCTCCGACTGCTGCGGG